TGTACCTGGGTAGTCTATATGGGGGCTACTGGAGTCCTTCCACATACATCATGGTTAATCAGTCTTATACCACCAAGTTACACCTGAAACTTTAGAAGGAAATGTTGCAGTGGTCGTTTTTATCCCAAAATGGTTCTGGGATTAACTAGCAGGCCCACTTAGCCTTTGAGCACTGTAAGACTGTGAATCATCAGCCTACACAGATATCCATTCAAGTGATCCTCCTAAATATGGGATGACCACCTCCATTCATTGGTAAAGAGAATGTGGGTGGGTTTTAGCATTGCCTTTATACTGGTAAGGGAAGGGGTGATTTTGTTCTTGGAATGTTTTGCAGCGGCTGTTATACAGCTTAGGTTTGCAAAGAAAACCAGGATGGAAATTGGTCCCCAATGTCTAGATGATCTAGTCGGCAATTTCCCCACATACCCCCAACTCTACACTACCAGTGTACCTACTCCTTTACAAGGACCCTATCATAGAATTTACCTATTCCTTCTTCCTTTTTTCTTGCTAACAATACGACAGCAAAGCTGTATATAAATGATGCAACGACAAATAAAAAAGTATGTTCTGAATGGGAAATCTCATGTACCTATCGACATAGAAATACAGAGTTTTCTTCTTTTTCTTGATATGTCAGATCCTAAAAAGAGAGAGGTTTGTTAAAAATGAAGGGGATGAGAAAAGCTCCCCTATGCTTTTGAAGCAGGTGATATCATCCAAAGCCTGGTAGCACAATGTTTCATCCTGATTGGAAACGACATGGGCTGATGAACCACAGTGTTTACTGCAAAAGTTAACAGAGGCAATCAATAGCTGCACTCAATACACTGTAAGAAAAATGAAGCAATGTTTTATCACCTGGATGGATGAACAGAAGTTGAGGATTAGCTGAAAAACAAGTATAAAAATCAAACTGTGCTTAACAAGAGCAAAAAGTATTTTTTTCTCAAAAAAAGGAATGTTTGATTATCAAATGGTATATATATATCAATTTCTACGAGCATCACCTGAACAGATCCAAATGAAAAATGCTACGTTTTTTTTTTTCATAATTGCTAAAAGAATATAGCATTAACGAAATGAGGGTACATCTAAATACAAAAAAGTGCATTTCCTATAAAAATCTGGACATTCCAAATATAGATTTCTAGTTAAACAGTCTATTAGTTGACAAGGTTTACAACTTTCCACCAGTTTGTACCAATACAGCTTTAAATGCCCTTGTTTTCAGGTTCCCACAGAGTAACTGAGGAGAGAACACTGACTGACTGTTTTTTTGTTTAATAATTACCCCAATGATGACTATCTTCCTGTATGTAATGATATAATAGATCAAATTACCCTAAAAATCCTTTCACAGCTTACACTTTGCTCATAAGTTTAACATCAATCTGTTAGGGTCACCTATAGTTACAATATGATTCAAAATAGCAAAAAAACTATAGTTTGATCTTAGATTAAATTATGATATTAAATTGTATTATTTTTTAGTTTACTTTCCTTAAAATGACAACTAAAGTGGAAAAACGAAGAGGATATGTAAATTCAGAGAGATCACAGAGGGGAGGGTGTATGTTTGGCTTCTGTGCGTAAATGTTCAATAGAAGATACATTTTGATTAAAAAAAGAAGGTAAAATAGCATATTGATGCATTAATACAGATGTGGGAAACATGGCTGTCATACAAACAACAGGTCTTTTTGAAATGTTGCTTTTAAACATAGTCAATAAACAATGAAGCAATTCAAGTACACTGAGAGGTTGGAAATAGCTCTACATTTTTTTTTAATTGTCCAATGGGATGGTTCCAAGGGAGTTCACTAAAAATAAACTCATTTTTGATTGTGTGTGCCAGTGAAAAGAATGCACAAACCTTTGATAAAATAAAGTGTTTCTTTTATGTGCTTTAAATAGCTGCTGTAGCAGTTTTATGCCGGAGTCACAGAGTGAATATGTTTTAGGGATGGGTTTATTCCTGGAAACAGAGAGAGGGATCAATGTCACAGTGGCTGCTTTGTTCACCATGCTCCCTGCAAAAAAAAAAGGATAAAAAAAGTAAAAAGTATATAAAAAAAAAATTTTCATTTGAAATCAAAGGGCTAACAGAGATAACTCAATAGTGATGTTCACTTTAAAGACTTTCAGGCACTGAAAATAATTCATGTGAAATAAGTACAAGAGAGCTCTCCATGGTGTTAACAGTGTATCCATTGCCAATATGAACATCCAGTGAAAATAAAGCAAGAGGGAATTTAAAGTTTTTTTTTTTTTAAATACCTGCACCTATATTCAGCACCCCTCTATCAATACTTTGTTGTTCAAATGAATAGAGGTATCTCTACACAGGATTTTTCTTTTCTAGAGAAAGAATTATTGTTGATGTTATGGTGCAAAAAGGTTTGCACTCAGACACTGAAAAAAGAGAGTTTGAATATCACATTTGACATGAAATAGCTGTCCTTATTCTGCTTAGGACGAGTATCCCCAACTGCATAGGGCAGCTACCTCCTATTTTAAAGTTGATGGCATTCTGGTTTCATAGGTGTGTCAGTTTATATTATATTAAAGTTATTGGTCTTCCCATCAATAGACCTAAGTTCTAAACTCCTAGAGCTCCTCCACATTTTAAAATGGCTGCTTCTCTGTTTAATACCCTTCATTAGTGACCAATAGATATGGAGATGAGCAGAGGTGTCTTACAGTTCAGTACCAAGGTGTCTTAAGTACAGTAACAAAGTACAAATACTTTGTTACTGTACTTAAGTACACTTTTTAGGTATCTATACTTTACTCCATTACTCATTTTTCTTCCTACTTCTGACTTCTACTCGCTTTTCACACAAGAATCTGTACTTTCTATTCCTTACATTTTTAAAACAAACGTTACTCGTTACCCTTGGCTTCGGTTTAATGTTTATAAATATTTATTTCACGTCATGTGCGCCATCCAATGCAGATAATTGGCGCCATTCACATCTAGTGAAAACTAGTGTTATTGGATGAGTCATATAATGCAAACACTCATTGCTTGGCTAAAGGAAATCATCAGAAGAGTGGCGGCCTAGTGGGTGGAGTGGCGGCCTAGTGGGTGGAGTGGCGGCCTAGTTGTGGAGTGGCGGCCTAGTGATGTGGAGTGGCGGCCTAGTGGGTGGAGTGGCGGCCTAGTGGAGTGGAGTGGCGGCCTAGTGGGTGGAGTGGCGGCCTAGTGGTTAGGGCATTGGGCTTTGAATCCTGAGGTTGTGAGTTCGATCCCCCACTCCCACAGACTGCCACTCTGGGTCCCTGAGCAAGACCCTTAACCCCACACTGCTCCCCGGGCGCCTCACGATGGCAGCCCACTGCTCCCCAAGGGGATGGGTTAAATGCAGAGAGTTCATTTCATTGCTCTGTACTTGTGACAGTGTAATGACAATAAAATTGAATTAAAAAAAAAAAAAAAAAAAAAAAAGAAGCAAGCAGGTGTTCTTCAAACTGCAAACGTGAATTGTCTATGCCATGCTACAATGTCAGATTCAGAAAAAGATGTTGAAATGTCTGAAAGGTCAGACACAGGCGAGAGCGTATCGGGAGATGGAGACCAACAAGACCTCCCTCATCCTTGGCCCTATCTCAAAGAATTTTTCAAAATAGTCGAAACATTTAGCTTTCAATTCCTATAGTGGCATCTGGCTGTTTTTTTAAAGGTTACTTTATATTTTTATACTTTAAGCAGTTTTTGGAGCTCATACTTTTTCATTTTTACTTGAGTAAAGAGGTCAATATCAAGATGGGCTTTGAAGATCTGACCCAAATGCAGAGAATCACTCAGAGACCAAGGGTAAAAGTTTAACAGTTTTATTGTAGGTTTGCAAACACTGATGGAGATTGAAACTCTGTGGGGAAACAATACTGGAACTCAGCGGACTGGTGAACCGGAACCAGAAACGCTGAAGGGGAGATCACAGTGGACAGTTCAGGGACAGTGGGAAAATAAACTGAGGCTTGAATATTGCTGAAGAGGATCCAGTTTACGGGGAATTAATCCAGAGAAGAGGTAACTCGTTGGAGAGGGGACAGGCAGACATACGTTGGACCCAGAGGAGTAAAGGAGCGGACTGTCACTTGGTTTTCCAAGAGTGTACTTGAATGGATCATGTGGAGGTTTTCGCCTTGCTCAGTGAGACTCAGTAAATCCTTCCAGGGGTAGAAGGTCCAGGCTCATCCAGTAACACAGGAAGTCTTCCTGCCGAAGAACAAAGACAAAAAACAAGTTCAGAATCAGAGAAACAATGCTAAGGTTAGACTCTGCTAATCTCAGTTTGGCTAGAGTACCCAATACTGGCAAACACTCTGGCGTCGAGGTGGTGACAGCCCACTGCTCAAGTACTCCTCTGGTAATGACCCAACTAGCCGCAGGTGTGCTGGGAGGCCCAACAGGGCACAGCCTGGTGGTGGAGAGAGGAAAACACACAAAAAAACAACCCACACAAACTGGAATCCTAACAGTAAAGTTGATACTTCGACTTGTGTTTTTAAACTGCAGTATCTGTACTTCTACTTAATTAACAAATGTGTGTACTTTTGATACCACTGAAGATGAGTTGGTTGCATCTAAGAACACAAAGTAGAGCATTATAAATAAATGATAGGCTAGCTCAGTTTTGAATAGTTGACTGTAAAGGTTAAAGCTACATCCTAATTATTTGTAGATGTCACTTTCCAGAATTTAAATTTGTGAAACATTTTATCTATTAACTTAATCAACTTATTAATGAATCAGTTTCAAAATACATGCAGATATGATCCATCTTTTTGTAAACACAACAATAAGGCTGCCCTGGTTGGCGTTGGGAGGGGGAGATTTTATCCGACATTAATGCCTTCTTACTACCCCCACAGCACTACCCTCACAGCCCCCATGCTTTGCCACCCCGCCGTCCTCCTCCTGCCTTTGTTCTCATCACAACAAGCCTGGAGCAGATGGTGCTTTGCTTTGCTTTGCTTTGCTTTGCTTTGCTTTGCTTTGCTTTGGATAGACAGCCGCTCTCAACCAATGGCCTGCTGGGGAATCAGCTGACTATAGTCAGAACAGCGCCAGGTGTTTTCTGCCTTTTTTCCCCGTATTGCGATCGCTATTCATCTACATTCGCGCAGAGAGGAGCGGCAGCAGTGCGGAGGAATATCGTGTGAGTGACAAAGCGGCCGGGTAGCAGCAAGTTGGGAGATCTGTCTCTGCAGACCGCATCATGCGTCTCTGCGATGCGCTCTGATGGGACGCGCAGTAAACAGCCTTCATCGGAACTCCGGAGGAGACAGGGATGTTTGTCTGATGAACCCATTCACCTGCATCTTTGTAGCATTCCCCTTACTCTGAACTGAGGCGTTCACCTGGATGAAGGAGCCGTGCGCTTGGAGACGTTTAGGACTGGAATGTCAACAAGGTGAGGCGGATAAGGAAAAAAACCTTTAGTCTTAAGCTTTTTTATTATTATTATTATTTTTATTGGGTTTCTTATTTCTATTTTGTAGCTTATGTTTTCCCGATGTAAATCATGATTAGTATGTTTTTTATCTCAAACAATCAAAACACAAGGGCACTGATATGAAGTTGCAGACGAACTCAAGGGCATTATCTTTATTCTTTCTAATTATACAAAGGTTTTGTCTTGCTCTGTGAAATTAAGAAGCATTCCCAATTTCACCCCGCACAATATTAAACATAATATATTACCGATCCCAAATCAGCCTCTAATAGTCAGTTAGATGCCAAATAAAGCAAACTTTGATCTGCGCTGCGGCAGGCGGCTCGTCGGTCCAGCATGCGCGCAATGATGCGATTAGCATATTAATCTTAAAGTGTATGTCGGCAGATGTCCCGATGTCTCCTCCGATCTAAGCGAAAAGTCGCTTCGGTCTTTCCTCGGGGAGGGGGGGGGATAAAGAAGGGCCCGAGATGCGCCGCTGAGAATGGGGTTGCGTTCGTTAGCGGGGGGTCTATTGTGCTCCTCCAATGTCGCTTCTGTCTCTGCAGCTGTTGCGCTTTTGTGGCAAGGAAGGCTGCTGACTTGTTATCGCTCAGCTCAGGAGTGGCAGTGATAATGTCAACACTGCACTTCGAAAGATCAGCTTATGACAAAAGATGTTTTTTTCTTCTCCGAATTAAAGTCCTCATTTATCCTACATGGTTTACCTCTGCGCCATGCAGTCTGGTTAAAGAAAGGCAAACACATTCCAGCTTTTCTAGGTTGTATTACGCCTTTTTTTCTTCAATGATCTTACAGAAACTTTGATTTTCTCTGTAGATTCTGTCCCACAGAATGGACTGTAAATGGAAAAAAAAAAACGTGAAGAAGTATTTTTCAATTATTCGATTAGTAATCGGATAGTAAAAGGCTCCTGAAACAATATTCTTTTATAGAATCAAACCAGATGAAACTAAAACTTTTCCATTTGAGAAGTTCTAGACTGACAGACAAAAAAGTTGTTTTTTTATTCGAAAGGCAAAATCTGTATTCATCTTTTTACAATTTTGGTATAATTACAGCATACATTGGTTTCTCTTCTCTGATTAATTGTTTTAACCCTAATCTCAATCTTGAAGGGAAATTATTGTGTACTCACTCTATGTCATATATTAGCATCTGTTGAACTGGTATTATTGCCTTATCTGGAAACTTTGTGGTTGGTTTCTGTGCCGCTAGCTGCAGTTTTCAGACTTTAGATTAAAGTGCAGGATTGTGAGGTTTAGTTTTCGGTTGCTTGTTATCAATGATTTGGTTTTACTTAAAGGTATAGTTGAGGATTTTCTTTTTCTGGGTGGATTATAAAAAGTGGTCATCCTCATTTTCAATCATTCTGGTGATATGTTTACGTAAGTCCATCCTACGTGCTCGTCTCCATTTTCACTTAGCGGTGGTGAGTCTGACATAGTGGAAATATTGTGAATCTTCTTTTGGAAGTTGGAAAAATTTGCGAAAATCCTCCACTATACCTTTAATCGTGATTAAAACTCTGGTAATACTTAAAGATGATTTTTTCTTCTTTTGAATTTAAACAAGACTGTCAGGTTGATTGGTGAATCTAGTTTTGTCTCCCAGTGGCCTGTGATAGACTGTGTACCCAAATACCTCTTGAGATAGGCACCAGCCCCATTGTGATCCGGACAGAAAAGCAGTATAAGATGGATTGATAAAATATTTTGGTTAACCTTTAACAGCTTGCTTTTATGGATGCCTTTCAGAGGCATGATGTCATGATAATTCTATGTTGCCCTACCATATTGAGTAGTGAACAAACGCTTAGCTTAGCATAGCTCTGTGGTGCTTCCACTCTGACCAGAATGAATAATTTTCATTTAAAACACCGTGAGCTTAAATACTTAGACAAAATCGGTCTATATCAAATTTTCCTTAGGCTTCCAGATTTTTCCCTTCACAACTAATACATATGTATCTTATACACAACCCATCCTTATATACTTCTACCACAGCAGACACCTCTTCTGGCTTTGCAGTAGATTTATGACCATTAAGGCAATTTATTTCTTGAACTCATGACTTTTGCATCTCAAATAAAAAAAACATACAAACATCTGTCTTATAGATATCGGAGTGAAATAAGTACTCCAGACTACCTGTAATGGCCAGCATGCTCTTTAATCTTTTATCTTTATAGTCTAACATGTTACACACCAATCCTCTCTCACACACAATAACCCAACTGTTTTTTATCTTGATCGATAAAAACTAAGTAGATATTTTCTTCCTGAGGTTATATTGCAATTGCCTGTAGTGTGCAGGAGGGGTTGTTGGGAAACAACAGAGCTTAGAGATAGGGGTACAAAGTTTCAAGTCCCGCACCAACAATGGCAACCGTACTTATGTCTCATGGGTATATAGCAGTCTAAAGAGGGCATTGCTGGGTTAGGCAGCTTAAACCCCCGATGTTATTCCTTTAAATCGCAAATTCAAACCTTAAAAACCCTTTAAGATAAAGGGTTGACAATTCTTCCCTTGTAGTAATTAAATACATCATTAAATGTTATCCTGGTATAACACTGCAATTGTGTGGCTTAGTTTGCAACAGGTTTGACTTTTTCAGTTGCACTATTAAGAATAAATGTTGACTAAGCAGTTTCCCTTATATTAACAGCTAGGGTATAAACTGGCTGTTTACTGTGTATAGACAGACTCAAAATAGCTTTTCTTCTAGCCAATTGAAAATTGAAAGACAGTTTTATGGTAATTATCTAAAGAACTGCCAAAACAAACATGATCTAATCTCTCCTGTTTGAAAACAACAGCATACTTATAGTTGCATTACTGCTAATATATAGATCAAAACAGTTATAATGATGTTGTTTGAGGCATAATTATTGCTGGGGTTTTTTGCATAGAGATATAAGGGAGGCAAGTCACTGTTTTAGATCAGAATCTGATTTTTATTCTACTCATAATATAAAGAATAAACATTGTTAAGGATTTTAATCCCTGGTAGAGCAACAAATCTGAGCTCAGTCCCAGCTAAAACAGTAGATATTTTCCTTAGGTGTATCTTAACAGTTGTACACAGTGGTGGTAGAGTAAATTACATGTTTTTTTTTTTGTTTGTTTGTAAGTGGGACGAAAACACAGACATGAGGTTGATTTGAGCATGTCGAAGATTTATTTTGAGAAAGATGAAAAACTTCCAGGGGAAGTTGAACAAAGAGAACAGGATTTGAAGCACAGGCAGAGTAACAGAAGAGCAGTGTAGTGTATAAGCACTGAACAGTGACAACCAGAGAGTTTATACTCAGAGGACAACCGTGGAGATGGCATTGGACAAGGTGGACTAATCAGGAAGCAGCTGTTGAGGAGAGTAAAATGAGGAAATTGGGGAAAAAACACAGAAGGAACTCAACTAAACTCAAAGGAAACTTCAAACCAAATAGGGGAAATGACAGGAATGAACTAACTAACGGACTAACTAACTAACCTACTAATTTACTGACTGACTGACTGACTAAGAGAACAGAACAAGAAATTAGTAAGAAACTTGACCTAGAGAATGCTGTTATATGTGGACTTAGAGCTATGAAATAACCACTGGGTCAAATCTTTAGAATGTGATCCAATGTGCTTACAGTTCAGAATATTTATCATATTTATTTCTTGCCATTCTGCATTTAGAGCATAAAGCTGGAGTTTAACAAGCAGATGTTTGCTGGTTTGTAATGAGACCCCCTGGTAGTGACAGTAAAGGTAGCTAGTCAGGTGATGGGCTTAGTTAGCTAGTCTCCAGTTTGCTTTCAAAGGGTTGGCAGCCAGTTCATCCTGATCTCAAATCATGTTAACAGTACTGTACTTAAAAAAAAAAAAAAATACCTGTCATCTTATTAACACAGGAAGGCTGCCTCCCCATTGTTTCCTGGGAAATGACTTTTTAAGGTCTTCCCAACTGTCTGTAAGACATGTGAAAGGTGTTTGAGAGTGTAAGTTCATCGAAGCAGCTAATTGGGGATTTATTTTCTGATACGTTACAACAAAGACCTGTACCTGCTGTACCTAGAGGAAGGGGCCCTGATTAGTAAGTTTTTGACTGCATTTTGAGGATGGAACACTGCTGTGTGCCATGCAGAGAATGGAGGAGAAACGTAAACACTAGACCATGTATAATAAAAAAAAAATCCAATCTACCATGGTATAAGGTAGAATACATATATATATATATATATATATATATATATATATATATATATATATATATATATATATATATATGTATATGTATATGTATATGTATATATATATATATATATATATATATATATATATATATATATATATATATATATATATATATATATATATATATATATATATATATATATATATATATATATATATATATATATATATATGTTCTGGCCATCAATTCTTTTTTTGCTTATTGGTAGGTAGAAGAAAAAAGTGTGAGTTAAGCTTATGTCACTGTTAGGTATGTACTGGTCAATGTGTGCCAGTTTGTAGTTAAAAAGAGTTAAGTTCACACAGATGAAAATGAACTAGCTCATGATCATAATTCACTTTTTTATAGTTCACTTTTATTTATTTTTTTTACTTAAACTGTGTGTGTGTGTTGCTTATTCTTCTCAGAGTGAAGGCCACTCTTGTTCACACTCATTACTTTAAAACTGAGCTGTTTAGTTCACCGTTCACTAAACATATGAAGGTATTCATTGAACACTGGCAAGGATTAGGTTACAGTTACTGTCAGTGACAGGAAGGGGAGGTTGGCCAGAAAACATTGTTTAAGCTGGAGCTTCATAAGCTTTGTTAGATTTAACCTAAACATTCATAGGAAGTCTTATATGTTTTTTGAAATTATAAAGTTTCAGACTGAAGGTCAAGCCATTTTAAGAAGGGTCAATAAAGATTACCTTGGAAGAAAGATGAATTGT